ACCTATTTTTTTCTTTTTTCGTGCTGGAATAGTTTGAGAATCCGTATTTTCTTTTTCTTTGTTTGCAGAAGCAGGGATAACATGAAGTGTGATATTATGAGAGTGTTAATATAGTCATGGAGTTATTTTTACGTGCTAAAAGTTTCAATGCATATGAATAATGGATAATAAAACCTTAATAGGTCTACTCTTTTCAAAATAAAAAATATGAAGACATCAAAAGTAAAGTTCAGCAATGTGAAAATTCTGTAAACTCAATAAGCAAAGATTCATCGTCGAATGCGTCAGAACGCTATATTGAGATAGAAAAACAAATTAACGATATTACCGAAGAATTGAATGAATTAGCCAAGTATAATAGGTTGAATTATACAGGAATCATGAAAATTATAAAGAAACATAATAAGTAATAATTCATATAGTCCTTAATTTTTTTTTCTTTTTTTCTTCCTGGTAAATTTGTCTAATACAAAATATTTCATTCACTATTTCAGACGAACGAAATATGATCTTAATCCATTGTTTAATGTTCGATTAAAAGCTTGCCCTTTTTATAAAGAAACCTTTGAACCTATTGTCATAAACCTTTCCCGACTTTATCACATAGTGCATCAAGGACTAGGTTCTGATCAAAGTTCAAGTTCATCAAATTTTCCTTCTGTAACAGCTTCAAGTGCTGTGTTACCATCTCGAGAAAGATTTATGCGTCAATCTCATAAATATTGGATTCATCCGGATAATGTTATGGAAGTTAAAACCACCATTCTGCGTAACCTTCCAGTTTTAATATATAAACCGGGAACTGATGCTTCTGTTACATCAATATATTTTGATAATGAAGCGTTTGAACTTTATCAAGATAAGGTTGATCGTAAGCCTGGGGATCAACTCATCAGATTGCGTTGGTTTGGTAATAAAGAATTGACAAATGAAATATTTGTTGAAAGAAAAATTCGAGAACAAGGAGAAGAAGAAATTAAAGATCGGTTTTTGATAAAAGAAAAATATGTTGATGGATTTTTAAAAGGCACTTATTCAATGGATAAGACGATCAAGAAAATGAAGGAAAACCCTGGTAAGACCGAGGATGATGTGGAAAATTTCCAGGCATTGGTTAAAGACATTCAGGATATCATTAAGGAAAAGAATCTGCAACCAGGTAATATAAGATTATAATTTAATATTATCATAAAATATTCTAATTGTTAATATATAATATATATTTTTTTATGATAGTCCTTCGTACTTATTACAATCGTATGGCTTTTCAAATCCCACGTGATGATCGAGTAAGAATCTCACTCGATACTGAATACTATATGATTCGCGAAGATAATTTTGGTGTAAAACGTCGTCAAGGCGATGCTTGGCGTCGAACGGATATAGACGATGCTGATTTTGGAAAATTATCTCAATCTGAATGTACCAAATTCCCTTACGCTATCCTAGAGATTAAACTTAATTTGGACGGTGAACCAGAACCAAATTGGGTCAAAGAATTAATTAAAAGCGGTTTGGTAAGTTTCTTATGACTATTATTATTATCTGTTATTACTATTATTACTATTATTACTATTATTGCTGTTATTACTATTATTATTATCTGTTATTACTATTATTACTATTATTACTATTATTGCTGTTATTACTATTATTACTATTATTGCTGTTATTACTATTATTACTATTATTGCTATTATTACTATTATTGCTGTTATTGCTGTTATTACTATTATTATGCTCATCATATATATTTAATATCGGTGCTCAGGTCGAAGAAGCACCACAATTTTCAAAATATGTTCATGGTGTTGCAACTTTGTTCACTTCTCAAGCACCTTCTTTGCCGTATTGGGTAAGTTCGGTAATCAATTTTTGTATTTTGATTTTCAGAACAAAATATGTTAATCAGAGTAACTTTTAGTTGCCCAATATCGACAAAGATATTCTTAAACCAAGTGCACGTCAATCATCCGAGGAATATGATGAAGATTATGATGAAGGGACGTCATCTGCATTATATGGTATTAATCAAGAACGCGCAAGACGTTCGGGAAAAAATATCATTGATATCGATTCCCAGGACAAGAGGGATAAAGGAAAAGCCGTTGAAGTTTATAAGGATGATGATGAAGACGAACAATTTGATGAAAATCAA